AGGACCCTTTTAATTGGAGAGACTTTACGCCCTTGAGTTCTGGTCTAGCTTCGCCTCCCCTCTTTCCCGGATCATCTCCAAGAAAGAACTCAACCCCTTGCGGGATTCGGGGCTAAGCCACTAAGTAGCCTAGGCAGTAACTCACCCTGCCTCTTTCGGACACCGAGTCTGGGCCTCGGCGCTACTGGCAAAAAGAATGCGAAAAACTGCTGCCCGGGTCAAGTCCCAAAATCAGCGGAAAATTGGGCTGGGCCTCTCGCCTCGAGGCTAACTCTCCCCTTGAGTAGCTCTCCGCATCCAAAAACCACGTCCGGTATACATAAGGACACCCGCCACGAAGGGACGGGTCGCTCGTCTCCGGCCATTTTATGTATGCGTTGCAGAGTATAATTAATCTTTTTTTTTCTTGTTCGCACCAGAGGATTTCTGACTCAAATCAAATTCTTTACCTATTGATGCAGATTAAGATTAAATTGCATCGCCGTAAGTGAGAAATCACTAGCCAGACTATCTTTACTCCAGGAAAGGTGGCCTACGCTGAATGCTCATACACTAGAGTGCAAATGGAGCAAGTCCCAACCAAAATTCCACCTACTCGAATCTTTACGAAACTCACCTAATGAAAAATTAGCTCCCTAGAAAAATCCATCATTTGTCTGATACTCAATAGTCCGGTATTCGAAGGCTTTTAAGAGGCAAAACCTGTGGTAGGGACAAGAAAGCCTTCGGGGGAGAAGCAAAACTTCCCTCTTTGGCAAGGCTTACCCAAACCTGAAGGCGGATTGAGGCTCTACTTCTAGCTTCATCAGAATGGATCATACCTGCTCCATAGTTCGCCTCGGAGACAATTTTCCATCGACATCACCTTTTTATTTCTTTTTTTGATGCAGGAATCTCTTGTTACCTGAAATTATTGCAATGGCTTTTCCTTCATTGATTTGAAAATTAAAATGCCATTATGAACCTATTGCGTCCTTATCTTCATGAATTAGCTTATTCATATTTATAGAGAATCTTAGTGTTGCTAGATATAAATTCGAAGAAAATCAATGAAAATTATATAAGTTATGCAACTGTTGTAATTATTATGTATTGCACCAGTTCAGTTGAGGAAAATATTTGTGTCCATCTTAAACATTTTCAAAAAAATTATTGGTTATATAATAAACTTTCACAGTATTATATAAACTATATAGCTCTGCCAATCGATTTTCTCTCCATAATCTTTATGAAAAAATTATAATCTATTATAAGCATTAATTTGTCTATCTAAAATCTATCTATTTAAATCTTCAGCTATTATAAACAGACTTGCAGATTTTCATACATTCTTTTAAATTATAATCAGGGTTTTCTTGGAAATAGCATACTATTTACTTATCCATCATATTTAATGCAAGAAATAGCATGAAAAAATCCTCAGAATGGAAAGATTAACATTTAAAGAAGAATTATTTGAGCCTTGATAGAACCCATTTAATTAATTTTCTACTTCATCACCACGACGAAGCTCTTGCATTAAAAACGACTTCATATTTTTGTTCTTTTTCGCTTTCAACACTTTTATTATCCCATAAATTCCTCCTACAAAAACACTTGCAATTCCGACAGACAATACAACCCAAACCCACAAAGGACTCTCATTACTTTCTGGCCCTTCTCTCCTAAAGTAAACAATAGACGAAATTTCTTCATCATTGCCATTTTTTGCTACTACGCACAGCCTGAAATCCTTGGTCCCCCACTCTTCAGTCATATCAAAGTACTCATCTTCACTAAAATCAGGGAAAATCAGCTTATTTTCATTAAATCTGTAGCTTGTATACAATTTTTCATTGCATCCAAGAGTCGATAAAGTATTTTTATCAATAAACTTCACATCTCCCCCAGGATAGCTGTTAGTGCATTGACTAAAGTGAGTAATTGAAATGCTATTTGATGCATTGCTTGCTTTTCTATCCCAAATCGCAAGCGAGGCTTCTCCAAAGGCACGATAAATAGGAGCAGCGATAAATCGAAAATCCTCTGAGCATGCAATAATGCCTTGTATTGGGGCTGAGTAGCTGCTTTGCTCTAAAAAGAAATAATAGGTAGCATCTTGCTCTAAGTCTGCATCGTTTTTTATTCGGTAGGACTCGATTCCTTTTCCATAACTTGAAACTAAAAGAAAATCTTGGCAAATCCCTAGGGATATAAAGCTGGAGTCTATGCTATTAGGGAGCCCGCCTACTACCATGCTGGAATTGTGTCTGCTGGTTTCGATGATTCTGATTCCATAGTACTCATCGAAAGCGTATCAATATACATCTTCTGAGTTCTTAACTTTGAAATCCAGAAGTTTTGTATAAAAATTGAGCAAATTTAGGGTGAAAAAATTTATTATTTCAACCTGCTTAATTTCAATATGATTTTCTAGTCAGCTTCCTCTAAATCTAAATATCTCATTATTAGTATTTTCGCTAAATTTCATTTTGCTCACTCCCCACCTGTGTAAGCGAACAAAAAAATTTTATTCACTCACCTTAATTTTTTTTTTAAATTTAAAAAAATTCTATAGTGGTAAATATTAATTTGATTTGCAAAATTTGTGTATTAAAATGTAAAGCTGTTTAAAAATTAATCAGAATTATTTAGATATTTAGTTATACTTATCACTTATATATCAAATTTCATTTTCAGAAAAATTTTTCTATTAAAATTTTTTGTTCTGGTTTTTGGTCAAAAAATAGGGATTTTTCTAATGGTTTTGCTAGCTCACAGAGGGGAAGTCAGTGCCATTATTTCAAAGCTATTTTCATCTAATGGAGCTAATCTCAGAAAATCTGGCATAATCATAGTATTGATAATCTTAAATTGAGTGATTGATAAGCTTAAATAATCAAATTGTCATAAAATTAGACTCAAAGCTGTTATAGAAGTTTCCTATGTTTGGCGCTGTAAGGCCGATAAATTCTGATCGGAATTTATCGGTAGGTTGCACCAAATCAATGCCTTGGTCGGACCAAAAAGCGATTTGGTCCGACGAACTTGGAAAGCTCCTGGGAAAATGTCTGCGCTTTTAGCGCTATATAGAGGAAACCTCTATATCTCTAAAGGATTGTCAAAAGGCCGGTTTATAGCTGATGATGTTTGATACATTTGGTAACTACATGAAGTTACAAATAAAGTCTGATTATTTTTTGAGTATGGGAATCAATCAATCAGTTTGCAAATCAAACTGCTGAGTCCTGTGATTTCTGAGATATTTAAATATAATGGAGCATCAAAAAACTCAGTAGAGTTAGCGACTAAAAACCCAGACTCTGATGTAATAATAACTAAATTATTTGTAATAGGAATATGGCTATACAAGTGAGTTTTTGATTGATAGAGCCCAACCTGTTCACTCCTTTTTTGAAGAAGTGCAGGAGTCTTCATTTCTGCTTTATCAATTATTTTTCCGTTGATGTTTAGCTCCATTGTCATGTTCTGCCCCACAAATACATCATCTAGATTTATCTCATATCTTTCATCATAAGGAATCGTATCCTTAACTTTCCACTGATTGGGCTTGAACCTAATAAACAATCCACTTGTAATGAGATTTATTGGGAAATGTTGTGTCAATGATGAATTTTCATTATACGCTGTCACTGCTATATTTACAGGGTAAACATTTTCTGATAGCTTTTTTTTTTTGGTAAGAAATGTGGTTACTAGTTCATATTTACAATTATTTACTCCCCCTCCGTGAGTGAACAAAAAAATTTTGTTCACTCACGGAGGGGGTTATTTTTTTTTTTTTAAAAAATTTATATATAAATTTTATAGATAGATAGATAAATTATTACTTATTTTAAGCGCTCACTCGGAGCGAATCCGATTTTAAAATTTTTATAGAAGATATTTTTTTTTTTCGAAATTTAAAATAATCCTAATTCGCAAAAATTGGAAAGCAGATATTAATTTAATTTATAAAAATTTGTGTTTTAAAAGGCAATTTGTTTAAAATTAAACAGAACTAGCTCTAGATTTCATTATAATAATTATCACTTATATATCAAAAATTTTATCCATAAAAAACTTTTCTATTAAAAATTTTTTTGTTCACTCACAGAGGGTGATTTTTTGGGCAAAAAATAGGAATTTTTCTAATGGTTTTGTTCACTCACGGAGGGGGGGAGTTAGATCATTGGTGTGAGCTGAGCATGGAACTGAATAAATTTCTAAATATTTCCCATTTGCAGAAGAAAAAAAGCTGCCAAGGCAAGATAAGCAGTTTAGGTAGGCCCCATATGAGATTGTGTTTAATAATGAAGATTTGAATATGTAAAATAATGCATTGTGAGAAGGTTGATCGATATCGTAAATATAAATCGAATTTTCCAACTGAATGTAAATCAAACTTGAGTCTGCAACAATATTAGAAATCGGGCCAGATGGGATGTCTAAGAAAATCCTTCTTAGATATGTCAAAGGGTAATCGTAGATGTCAATTCACCCGTTTTTATTAATAAAGCTTACATATTTTGTAAGCGGCACAATCTGAATTAATCCTTTATTTTCTTTTATTGATTTTTCATAATAAAACATAGAGCTATACCGAGACATAAATAGCATTCTAATACTGATCATTAAAATTCCTTTTTCTTCATCTAATAAATATAAATAATCGTGAAGAAGATCCAGAGAAAATTCAACATCGATCAAATTCCAAGAAAATCCTTCATTGAAGCTTCTTCCTGTTAAAGAAAATGTTAAATTTCATAAGTCATCTTCATATAAATAAATATCTATCTGAGTATTATCTGCGCAAAATAAGAAACTATCAGCTAAATCGAAAAACTTGCACTCAATCTGTGACTCAATGGCCTGAAGAAGGCTTTGAGGTGCGTAGTAGTCATGATTAAAATACGAAATTAAATAAAAATTTTCCGAAGGCTTTGAGTAAATCAGACTAAAACTTTGACTTGTATGGAGAAATGCTATAGGATTCGATACATTATAGGATCTTCCGTTGATATAATCGCCCTTATCAATGGCAACTTTATCAGGATAAAATTCCACTAGGTAGGCTCCATAAATGAAAACCTTGGTAACATCGTCGGATATAGAAATGTTTTGGGATAGGATTAGTTTGCTTGGAGCAACAAAATCAAGAGAAAACAATTCAGAATGAGAGGCTTCAATTTTAAAGCTGAGATTTGGGCCTGAAAAAAACGAATTTACGATGAAATTAAGGGGAGCTGAGTTCCCTATAAATGAGGAGGACTTTGGAAAAATCTTCGCTTCTCTATAATGGTCTAAAGGCAAAATTTCTTTTGAATCTGAAGGAATTGAAATAATATTTAGCACACTAGAAACCTTATGACCTTCTTGATCTTCTGCTGTGATTTCAATAAAATAATTAGTGTTTCCTCATACTTCTAAGGTTCATTCTTCGATATCTACGAGGTATGCTCTAATGCCATCCCTATCAAATCTTGCGTAGTAGTTGTGGCCATTAATAATATTGGTATAAACCTCAAATATTCCATTATTTTCATAATTGTTTCCTATCATTCTTTCTAAATCAAAGCTGCACAGAATATCGAAATTGCTCTTTTCTTTTAGGACTATCGATAAAATCCCATTGTTTGCTTGGATATAATAGTAAAGATGGGTTGATTGAATATATACGCTCTCTGTGTCAATTGATTTACCTGGGTTTATTACTCCAAGAATTGTAACGGCAGCAGCTGCTGCTGTAAATTTTAAGATAACTGCACCTGATTTGGTTGCTACACTTAATGTCAGATCATGCAAAGGTTGCATTGAATAAAGAGATCCAAAAGGCCTTAAATCAAAGTTTTCTGTTTCAAGAAAAGACATGGACAGTCAATCATGTCTATAACTTATCAATCCATAGCTTTGGTCCAAAACGCTAAAGGCGTATTCAGCCATGAAAATACTGACTCCCCCCCCTCCTTGAGTGAACAAAACCATTAGAAAAATTCCTATTTTTTGCCCAAAAACCCCCACCCTCCGTAAGTGAACAAAAATTCTTTTAATAGAAAAATTTTTTATGGAAAAAAAATTTGATATATAAGTGATAATTATTATAACGAAATCTAGAGCTAATTCTGTTTAATTTTAAAGGAGTTGCTTTTTAAAACATAAATTTTATAAATTAAATTAATATTTGCTTTCCAATTTTTGTGAATTAGGATTTTTTTAAAATTCGAAAAAAAAAAAATTTTTTATAAAATTTATATATAAATTTTTTTAAAAAAAAAAATTAAACTCACGGAGGGGGGGGAGTGAGAATTGCAATCTGGTTACTTGGAATTTGAATTTTATCATATTGACTTATTTTTTGATATAACACTGGTTCATATATATTTTTTATATCATAGATGGCTAAAGTACTTGGACCCTCTTCGAATTTGCAAAAAATAGAGAAAAAGTCTCTTACTTCTCCATCTCCTAAAATTATTTTTGAAGCATAAGTGATCTCACTAAAGTTAGATCAAACTGGACTTGTTAAATAATGTAAATCAGTAATATTTAAGATGTAAATATCATTTCTCACTCCCCCCCCTTAATTGGAACAAAATGTAGGTAAAATTTTCCATTTTTTTGGTAATTAACCCCTTTTAAATTGAACAAAATTCAATTTTATAGTAGAAAATTTTATAGATAAAAATCATAATTTTTATGTAAAAAGTTTTGATATAAGTTAAATGTTTCTTCTTAGCTAAAATTAAATAATTAGTTTAATCTTACTCTTTTTTAAAGAAAAGAGTATAAAGAGCATCTTATTTAAATAATTTTTAAGAAATTTAATTCTTTTTTAAGAAAATTATTTTAAAAAATTTTCATTTTTGTTTTATAAAAATAATATTTTTTATTTAAATAATTTTGGTATATATTCAATGCGAATTCTTTACAAATATTGATAATTTACTTACTTCTTGCTTTATTTTTAAGAATAAAATATAAATAATATCTTATTTAAATAAAATTAGCACTTTGATCGATAAATTTTCTAAACATTTTTTTTATCAATAAAAATAATAATTTTTTGTGTGAAATAGTTTTGATGCCAATTAATAGTAGCGTATAAATAAAAATTTAGTTATATCTTGCTTTGCTTTAAAGGATAAAAAGTAAAATGTATTTTATTAAACAAATTATAAATCTAATTCGATAAATTAAAAATTTTTTTTTTAAATTTTATATAAATTTTTTTTCTTATGGAAAATTTTATATTGTTTTTTTTTTTTATATATACTAATTGCCCGAGGACGGCGCAAGATAGCGCCATCCTCGGGCAATTACAATACAATTTTACCCTCACCATAAACAGCAACAGCTGCTGCTTATGGGAGGAAATCGCTTTGGAGGATGGCCTTTTGGTTTGCCAAAAGCCATTTTGGTATACCAAAAGCAATTTTGGCAAACCAAAAGGCCATTCTCCAAGGCAATTTCCTCCCATAAGCAGCTATTGCTGCTTATGGTGAGGGTAAAACAGCATAATTAAATTGGAACAAAATTTTTTGTTCCAATTTAAAGGGGGGAGTCAGGGTAAAAGCACTGTGATTACTTTCTTCCCCGACTACCCATATTATCAAAGTAGGATGGTATCTTTCTCTATATCTAATACCCATTATTCGGGAATTATTGTAAGGAGATTCAATATTGACAGCATATAAGAGACTTACCTCACTAGCTTCTTTAATGAGCTGATAAAAAATTAAATAGTTTTCATTATAAGAAAAAAGCACTTCTCTTTCATATTCTTCTTTTATAAAAACATTCTGCTGATTAGATAAATGTCAAGTTTTATTCCAAGCTGGATTTTGGTAAGGAGTAAATGAATGAAGCTTCAATTCTTGTCTAAAATTAATTTTTGTTGAATTTTGAGTTGTGTTGGAATTTGTAATGGAGAATGATAAGTTATTGCCTGAGAAATAGTCAGACAGCGAGAGTCTCTGAGACTCTCCACTTGTTAAATAGAGGCTCCCTAATTCATTTATCAGAGATAAGGAATAAGATAAGGCCAGAATTGAGAAAAAAGTCAACAGCATATTTACAATTATAACATTTTCTCATTTAATTCCCCAAACTATCAAAAACAATTTATGATTATTAATTATTTCACTCACTATTCAAGATTAGGGATCCGAAAGATATTATACTTTATCTTGATTTGTGCAGATTATAAATTAAATAGAATCAGAAAAATTAAAGTCTTTATTTATTCCTTTTGAGAATTTTAAAATTCGTTAAGCTTAATGCTATAAACACTGCCATACCTAAAATATTAAATAATGATTTTTTGATTTTTTCTCCTGCCTTACTAACAATAAATAATTATTTTATTTATTTATCTTGAACATTGATAAATTAACTTAATTGTAATTATGAATTCTCAGCTTTTAATAAAAATTACTATTATTTATTTTTTAGTGAAGAAATCAAATAAGCTTGCCATAAAAATAGCTAATTGTGCCTAATTAATCGTATTTTTAATTAGAAAGCCATTTAATCTATAAGCATAACTTTAATTTCTAACCCTCCGTCAGCTAACAAAACCATTTGGAAAATCCCTTTTTTTACCCAAAAGCCCACCCTCCTTGAGTAAACAAAAAATTTTTATGAAAAAAATTTGATATATAAGTGATAATTATTATAATGAAATCTCTTGCTAATTCTGCTTAATTAAACAGATTGCATTTTAAAATATAAATTTAGCACATTAAATCAATATTTTCTATCCAATTGGGATTTTTTTAAATTCAAAAACGACCTCCCCTCAAAAAATTTTTTCGAAAAAATCTTCATGCCTACTGCAACACAACATTTTTATAAAAAAAAATTAATGCATTTTCTCTAGGTGAGTTTCTCAAAAAAACCATAAAACAGCGCTGCTGTAGGTGTGTAAATGGCCTTCTCATCGAGATTTGGACGACTATTGTCATCGCTCGCCATTTTATTAAACTTATCTAGCTAAAAAGTACGGAAAAATTTAAGATGCGCATCGAAAATTTTGTCCAAGAGGATTAGGATTATTACCATATTTATGACGCAGTTACCAAAGACCTCCCGTACGGAAGGTTCTACCGCTTTTCGACCCCAGCCCAGAGGTCTATCCCTCTTACGAGTGCCCATCCGGTACCTTCTGTCTCCTCCTTGCCTTGCGGCTTCAGTCTTGAGTGGGCCACTTACTTATGGATTTCTGCCGCCCTGCTACGGGCGATTGGAGTAGCTTGATTCCAAGGATCAGCTCCTTGGAGTCTATCGGGTGTCAAAGTGTCTTCCTTCGACAGCTACAGAAAAAGGACTGTTCCCCTGTGGCCTGGCCGAAAACTACCAGTTTCTCGGTAGAGGAATGCCCATGGGTCCTCGGATCCAAAGGACGCTGCTGAGCATCTCAATTTCCAACCACAGGAAAGCGGCGGCCAAAACCTACCCGGATACACACTTCTTGAGCCTGCGTCTGATTCTCGGCTCGGTGTCCGTCCCAGTTCGCCGTAGCCATAAGGTCTGGACTGCTGCGCCAAGAGGGCAGGCTGACACGTGTCGCCATTTTAATGTATATAATTTGTTGCAAGAGACATGAAAATTTTTTTTTTTATATATAAAATTTTATATTAAAAAATTGCATTTTTGTTGCAATAGACATGAAGATTGAGGGGGGGGTCATCGTTACAAATTATTTTTTTAAAAATTTACCTCTCTTATTCGCTTACGGAGGGGGAGTGAGTAATTCAGTGGAAAAAGAAATATAATAATCATCTCTTAATAAAACTGAAAAAGAGCTGCTTCCTCTCTTCAGCATTGATTTCTTATTTTTTATGCTTTTTAATTTGTATTGATATATGTGGTTTCGATAGTTTTACAGTCTCAGACTTCAGCTTTTTCTTTTTGCCTTTCTTCAGCTCTGGCGAAGGAATTCTATTTTTTAAAATATTTGATGTCGAGATGTCTTCAGAACTTCTAGAAATCATGGGTGTTAAATTGCTTCTCAAAATTAGTGATTCTGCTTTTTCGAGTCTGTCTTTTAAGTCTTCGTATCTTTGAGAACTTTTTAAAAGTCTTTGTTCAAGTTCACTGATTTTTTCTGAATAATTTTTTTCATCAGTTCTTTTTCTCTCTGTTTTATATTCTAAGGAAGACTCCTCACTTTTTTGCCGCTTTCTTGAGCTAGATCGAGAATTATTTCTTTTTGAATTAATTTCAGCTTGCTTCTTATAAAGCTCTTCGTATTTTTTGGATAAAATTTCTGAACGATGACTGATTGTTTGTGCTTCTTCAAATAGTCGTGCATTATCTTTTTGCAGGCTATTTATTACTTCTTTCAGTGATAAAATTTCTGAATTTTTTGAACTCAGTTCAAGCTTAAGAAGTCGGTTTTCTTCTTCGAGCTCCTTACTTGTCCATTCGCTTGAAAATGCTTGCTTAGCAGGCATTGTGCTAAACTTTGTAGGAATTTCTGGTTCTTGAGAATATTCCCAAGCCCTTTGAATGGCATACTGATTGGATGATTCTTTATCTTCAGTTTCTTCGTTTGTTGAATATCTGTAAAGAATGGGAGATGAAGTCTCATGTGCCATTTCTCCTGCGCCGCCTAATAAATTTTTGAATTTTTCTTCCAAAAACATTTTTCTTTGCTGGTTCTTTAAAGTCAGATTTTTGCTTTGCTGGATTATTTGTTGGCTTTTTTTTATGGTTTCGTCAATATTTTTGATATCGTTTGAAGGGTCAAGATTGTACTTTTTGACAAGTCTGCTGGCTTCTTGGTCAATTAGGCTTGGGAATGAAGATGACATTAATATTAATTTAATTGACTTTTTCGATTTCATTTATAAGTATATTTATTATTTTAAGTTTTATCAATAATCATATTAAAAATCTTAAGCATTATTCGCTTTATTAATTTTTGCGTCCTCATAGATTCCAGCGCTTTGCGTTGAAATAGTCTCAAAAGGATATTTCATTTTCGACTTCTGTATTTTTTTTATCAAATAAAATCCGAGCATGAAGATAATTATAAGGACAGGGATTATCCCTATCAGAAAACTATTTTTTCTCCTTAGATTGCTTTCTAATGATTTATTCTCTCTTGTAAAAGAAATGGTTGAGGTATTCATTGCGTTATTTTCGTTTACTGCGGTTATAAACATATTAAAATCTTTTGTTCCTCATTTTTCTATCATTTTTTTGTATTCAGACTCATTCATTTCTGGAAAAATCAAATGGTCTTTATTTATTTTATAGCTTCTATACAAAGATTGATATCGCATAGCTATTGAAATAGTGCTGTTATCAATAAACCTAATGCTCACAGGATCTGAATAGTGATCTAGGCTCAAAATTATTTTTCCAATAAAATTCGAGTTTGCATTAGCGTTTATATCAAAAATTGACAAGGATAAGTTTTTATTAGGTTGAGATAACTGAAATACAGCATATCTTCCATCATCTGAACAAATAATTGGAGCAGCTTTTGCATATCCAAAGTTTATCGAGCTTGAAAGATATTCCGCATATTTTACTTTGGTGATGTTTGCATAATTTTCGATTTGATGCGATTTCATTTATCCTTAAAATATGGAGTCGCTCGAATTTTCTGGTCTCGGACCAATTCATCTTTTGAATATTTTAATTATGAGGTTTGGTTTCTCCTATGAAATTATCCAGCTATGTCAAGAAAGTAAAGGCCGGAGGTTTTGCTACGAACTCCCGATTTTAGGAAATGGAATGTCTTACTCCCCCCCCCCTTTAAATTGAAAACAAAATTTTATTATAATAGAAAATTTTATAGGTATTATTTTATATGTAAATACGTTAATACCCCTATTTAATATGCTTCAAACATATAAAGATTTAGAAATTAAACTCTATTTTGTCCAATTGTTATGGGGAGAGAGAGTTAGAAGAATACCATTTCAGCAAGTTTACACTTTGAGATTGAGAAATTTATAAATAATTTTTCATGAAATTAAAATTAAAAATCAAACACAGAATGAACCATAAACCCTTTAAATAATTAGGTTTCTTAAAAATTTTTTATATATAAATTTTTTTATAAAAAAATTTTCTTAACCCCCCTTTAAATTGAAACAAAAATTTTTTGTTTCAATTTAAAGGGGGGGGGAGTTAGAAGAGTACCCACTTACCCCAGGCGATGGAGACTGGAACTTTTAGAGTGTCTGACGGAGTAAGTGCCTGAGCTAAAGAAGGCCCGCCAAAGCCCAAACTTCAAGACTGAAGTCCTCTTTTGGTGATTAAAGCCTAGGCGGCCACAACTTTTGCGGGTCCGAGGAAAAAGGCACGAAATTCACCCCACGTTTGGGTAACTGTGGTCAAGCAGCCTGATAGTATAAGCTAAGCACTCACAAATTAATTAAAACTAATATACGATTCCATTTTAAGTCCACCCTCAGATAAATATAGAAGATTACCGCAAATACCCATGCTTAAAAATTTTCTAAGCTTGCTATTTTTAAGCCCACCTGCAATAATGCTTGGAAGATTTGTCCGAGCCTCTATGACTCTAATTCCGTAAAGCCAATCCACCATGTACCAATACACAGTCTCCCTGTCCTTTATTTTATAATCAACAAGAGATATGCAAATATTTTCCAAGCCCAGAGACAATACATTTATTTTTTCAACGTCATAGAGATTAACGTTGCTTTCAATTCAATTTCCTTTTAGTCTTCAAAGATCACTAAATGGATGGCCCAAGCTATTGCACCTCGCAAAAACTATAATTTCAAAATTATTCTGATCTAGTGTCGCCAGCCTTAAGAAATCTATTTCAGTAGGAATTCGAAGGAGTTTGGACTGATAAAAAGATAAGCTACAATAATCAAATTCCCAAAAAATGATAGCATTCACATTTTCAACTAAATCTGTTGGCCTCATAGAGTAAAATACTGTATGACGTACTTTGTATGTGCAAATAGTCACTATTAATGCTTTTGTTTCTTTGAGAGCTGCGAATGATTCGATTTGCTTGCAGACTAAATTTTGGAGTTCTTGAGACTCTTGAATAGGAATCAGCAAAGTCTCATTTGAAAACCCAGTTATATTTTTTATAATAAACCCAGTTTCTGAGGTTATTACAACAATGCCTGCATGAGGAATGACAGTATGACTGTATATAGTTCTTCCTTTTAAATTGTTTGCTTCTCCAACTTGCTCAATTCGTTGAGTTAGAAATACTGGAAGAAGGTTTTTATCTGAACTCGAAAGATAATTTCCATTTAAATTCAAACTTTTCTCCATGTCCTGACCAAAAAAAACTTTACTAAAATCAAATTCATAATTTTCGTTATATGGAATACTTCTGCTTATTTCCCATTTTTCACTATTATTCCATAAGTTCTCAACTTCTATATTTAGTGGGAAGCTCCGCTGCAGCTGATTTTCCTCGTTGTAAGCAATAACTGAAAAATTCATGCTATAGCTGGGCTCTTTGATTTCTTTTCAATCAGAAACGAATATATTGATTTCATAATTAAGGATACATGATGAGTAATAGAATCTGTCTACTTCACAACTTACTGTATATATTTCTGCATATTTCTCTTCCGTTTCCGAGTGAAAGTTCACAAGTTCTGATCCATCATTTGCATAGGAAAAATGATCAGAGATTTTCATTTCTATTGAATAGTATAGAGCACCAAAAGTAGGCAGATTAATATCGTATATGAATAATCTATCTTTTGTGTACAAATAGACCAAATAATCTCTTGCAAAATGGCTCACAATTTTTAGATTTGGCTCAATCAATATGGTCTTTCAATATTCCCAAGGGCCTTTGTATATATCAATTTTCTCATCATAAACTAGTCCAATAAAATAGTCTGAGCTAACAATAAATTTAATTCCATGAGATTTGAGTTCTAAAATTTGTGAAAATTGTCCTCGAGATAATATATTTACTGCTAGAACTCCTTGATTTGGATCCATTCATTGCTACTTAGGTATTTAAAGTGTCTTCCCTCTTTAGCAGGATGATTTAGGCATGCATAAGCCCATCCTTTTAACTCCAAAATGGTGACGTCAGCGCCATCTAGTCTGGCAAGCATTCCAGGAGATGCTCCCATCTAGCCAGAAGGTCCGCACTGGTCGCACTGACTCGCTCAAACTTGACTCCTGCGCATTTTCCGTCTAAGGGTCACCCTCCTCGGGTGTGCCAAGCAGAAAAAACCCATATGTCTCTTAAAACTCTGGGCCAAAGAGATACCCTATGCGGTATTCCATATTGGTGTTGCCGATAAAAGTCCACGTGGAAAACTGAACCCCATAATAATAAAAGCGAAAGAAGGAATAGTTCTCGGAGAGAACTAATTCTGCACTGAGTCATTTTATTATTATCCTTGCTTTGGATCGAATAAATAAATATATATTTGATTATTATAATTATTGTAATTTGCAAGGAGGTTTTCTGCATTCCAATGGAAATTATTATCTAATTCTGCAACAGTTAACGTATCTATTTTTTTTGATCTGCTTTCTATAAATATGTAAGTCTCAATTTTGTCTCTATTTCCACATATAATTATATTTCGACATAAAGAAAACAGCAGACACTCCATCCCTGTCTCAAATTCATGGATAATACTTAAACTAGATATACTAGCTATTGAAATAAAGTAGACCCCCTCGTCGGATTGTCTATAAATGAAAGCATTATCTCAAATTTCAGTTGTGGCCTTTATTGGATTTGATGTCTCTATTGTTCAGTTGACGTTGGGATTACTCATGCTTTCGATGTATATTCTATCTTGATAGAAGTATATTCATGAATAACGAGGAAAGGTAGCGAAGTTTTTAATTTCTTCAGGCAAAGTCAGATTTTTGAGTAAAGTAAGCTTATTTCTAGGGCTTAATTCAAAATGAAACTGCTTTAATTCGGGAAATTTGAAATCAAATTTTAAATTAGGCCCTAAAAAATAGGAATTGACATCCAAAATAAAACCAGTTTTATTTTCGTATATTATTAAACTTTCTTGTTTTTCTCAAGAGCCTTTCTCGTTAGGAAAGATTTCTTGTGATTGCTTTTTAACTGATATCACATGCAAATTAGAAGTAACTGAAGCCCCGAAAAAGTCAGTCGCCTTTACTTTGACGACAGATGTGGAGTTTCCATGCACTTTGAGGCTTCATCCTTTGATTGAGACTTTATAAACCTTAAGCCCAGCTTTTTCGAATCTTGCACAGTAAAGTCCAAGATGTAGTGAGGAGAAGAATAATAGCTTGGAATTAATTTGTTCAAGGGTTCCTAAATTTGTGATGTCAATGCTAACTCAAATTCTCCGTTAACGAAAAACATTCGAAAATCCCTATTTTTTTCGTAAAAAATCCAAAAGATAAAAAAATATTTTGATATAAATGATAATTACTCTAAGCAGCTTATATTTTAGAATATGCATTTTATAAATTAAATTAAATTAATTTTTAGAGCAAATTTTTTTCTTTGCTCACAGAGGGGATTAAGCATAACTTCAGGCGATGCTGAATTTTTATCTACCACTGATAAAGAGTCATGAGATTGAATAAAATAATAATTTGAGCTTTCTTGGATATTTGTCCAGTTGAGATTTTGATTATTTTTTAAATGAAAGCGTAGGCTTGATTCTTTCACTATATTCCTGATATATAGCGATATTCCTATATCTGAAAAAATAAATATTTTTCTCAAGCTTAGAGCTGTCATTGAACGAAGAGTCCCAAGATGGCGCAAGTCTTCCACCCCATCTTCTATGAATGTCATCGTGAAAGAGTATTTAAATATGATTAAACCGAAGTTAGCATCAAGAACACTAATCTTTGAATAATCCATTAATGCCCCTACAATAGAAAGCTTCTGCTGTGAGAGAAAAACGCTGTAATATTCGGAAATGCTTTGCACTAGGATTGGCTGATCAAGAGCATCAGTTAAGAAGTAAATATATATGCTATTTGAAATACTCGGATCATTCTCAAATTCGCAATAAATTGGGAAATAGCTGGAATCTTCCACATAAGGGAGAACCAGTTTCGATGAATATGTAGGCTCACTGAAATTTGTCCATGTTGGACTTGTCGGATAATTTAAATTATTGACATCCATCACATAAAAATCATTTCTTCATACAATGCTACCCTCCAGATGCTCTTGCTGCTTTGCCCAAATTAATATGCATTGAAGCTTTGATAAATATCTCGTTTCTTGAATTTGTAAATTTTGATACTCTGATTCGATTTTTCAATTTCATATTTCTGTCGCTTCTCCAGTTATAAGTGAAATGATGTAGAGCACTATTTGATTTGCATTGAACCAAACAATTATCTGATTTGAATCGCTTATCCAAGTTGTAAATGATTCGGAAGGCAGGGTCTTACGTGAATTGGGATAAGGAAGAAATGACACTAGGTCGAATTCATGTGCGCTTTGAATTGTAGCTAAATCGCTTGAACTATTTCGATCTTCGATTGAGTATCTTAAATTTTCACCAGCAAAATAATCTGATAGTTTAATCTCACTGAACTCTGTTTCTAATAAATAAAGGGTTTCGAATTCTTTTCTGATGCTTAAGGAGCTGACAAAGAACAGAATAATTAAATACCTTACAAGCATTATTTAATATACAGAAATGGAAGTTGAATAAAGTATGCAAATATAGCTAAAGAAAGCTAATTATATTAAAAAGCAAAATTAAGGGTTTAAATTGATTTTAGGACTAAAATTCAAGATACAACACGATAGATTAATTTAAAGTTTAAGAACAACTTCAAATGGTAGTTAGGAGTAGGACGACGGTCCTACAGTTAACTCAGTGAGAGAATTTTACAACTTTCTTGAGGGTTTTTAGTTAAGAGAAATGATCTACTCTGAGGCTGGCGCATATAGAGAAGTCCTAGGTCACTCGGGACATGAGCAGGTCGACGGTTAGGCCAGTCTTACCTATCGTTATTCTAAGCTGTCAGTAAGGTTAATACCGCAAGAATCTGGACTTGCTGAAGAGTAATCTTAAACTTGAAGTTAAAGTTTTAAGAAAGTCAATTACTACATCACCCACACTGGTTTCCTTCCCTGTTTCGGTGTTCCTCGCTCCATCACTTCGTCGTGCACACCTCTGCTTCAAGACTAAATGGTTCCTCGGGTTTGGCCGTTCGAATTTTGACTGCTGCCATTCCAGCTCTTGATTTGATGTGGATTGCCTATAGAATTTCAAAAAAATGAAAGTTCTGACCAACTCTAGAAAAAAGCGAAAAATGAAGCCTATGGGTGTAACTCCTGGTTTCATGCTGAAATGCTGTCCAAATAGCCTAAAATGCTTTGCTGGGCTACCCCTTTCCAACTCCAAGCCTCCCTTCCCCCACGAGTAAAATTCAAATCTGAAAAAGGATTTGAGTTAGGCTTCGTGCGTGCTGCCGAATTGCTTACTTGTATTGCTATTAATTTCTAAGTTATAAAAATCGTTCCGGATATAATTAAATATGTGATTGAGGCTGAATGTTTAGAGGCCCTGTGAGAGACGCCATATTTAATTATAGTATTAAAATTCAAAAATTATTATAAATTGGCTGTTGATAATTTATATATAAATATTTAGTCCATAAGCGAATAAGACTTTTCTGGATATTCAGATTTAAATAAATCAATCATTATCTCTGCTTCTTCAATATTAAGATCAATTAAATCATTTTTTCCTAATGCTGAGCAATACATTTCATAGTTACTGTAGCTTTTCTTGCTTCTTCGATGGTACTTTTGATTATATGTAACTTTTCGTTTTCCAAAAAAATCCCTCCCTACGAAATATAAGTGTAATAGTCTTTTAGATAATTTTGGCCTAATTTCTAAAGGACCTCTTCGGAAATATCGTTGCTCTATCATTTTTAATGTTTGGGAGACGTCGCATTTGCAGCAATATTTTTTAGGGCACCTTTTTATGGTCCCTGATGAATATACCCCAAAACGGCAAGTTCTTCTCATATTTATATCAGATGAAAATAGATAAGAAAAACTGAAGATCTCATTTAACAATTTTTTTCCCACAGCACTAAATTTTTGAAAGAATAACTATTAATATTTTAATAGCTATTACCTTAAATTATTTCTCAATCCTTATATATAATTTTTCGGGTATTTTCCATAATCAAATAATATTTTCAATAGCTCTTTATATTTTTGAAGCCAACTAAATTTCTCATAATTTTTGAAACAATTACAATTAAAGCCTTTACAGATATGGATTTGTCTGCCTTGAAAGCTTAGTGCCTGAAACTTTTAGCATGCAAATAATAATGTATAATTGTATTTTAATAAATTAGAAAAAATATAATTAGTGTTTTAAAGTTAATTTATTTTAATTAATTTCAGTCAATGATGTTTCATTCAAATTAAACTTGTAGTATTTGAGAATATCATCATAGTCAATGAACCCCATACAATCTGTTAGCTCTTATTGTATGGCATTGAGCTATTTTGAAATGATAGGTACATTTTATATGTTTTTTGTTAAAAAAAAATTAATTGGAGCAGAATTTTTTATTCTAATTCCGTAATTAATCTTAATCCAAAATAAATCTTAATGATCTCGATATTATGCCCTGTGGGAAGGGGTCTCAATTTTCGGTGCATTTTCTCATATGCGGAACTCAAATCCTATCCGTGGAACCACTCAAGTGTGGAAACTCCGCATATGGGATTTGGTTTCTACACATGGGAATTTTTTCCATTGTGTGACTCCTATAATTATCCCAGCGCATAGCACAAGATATAAGCAGATATATGTACTGCTCCTTTACTATGAGAACAGCACACTTGATGAGGATCTGTATTGATTATTGAATCTGCAATTGGTTTCCAAAAAGTAAAGCCTGCAATTTCGCTTTCATAAATTAATCCATCAGGGCATTCAATCAAATGCAGCCTTTCATCTACTTTTACCAGGATCTTTGTTTTATACTCTTCAAATTCATAAGGAATTATTGAGAAAGAATCAATATAAATTGAATAGAAGAAAAGATTTCTATTTATCCTCGCAGAAATCAAAATGTTCCAATTGAATACTACACTATTGCAATATCAATCAGGATGCGGCATTGGAGCTAATTTAATCCACCGATTCTTATCCAAATCGAATCGGGCAGATAGAGCTGATACAATAATATTTTTATCCCTTACCCCAAAGCAATAAATATTGTTGTTGAAATAGATATAGTATATTTGAAATTTTTGTGCACACCTCACGAAACTTACATTTATCCAATTAGTATATCATATAAACAACTATTTGGCAGTATGTTGCAACTTTTTAACAGAGAATATCATTTATTTGATCAATAGTAAAATGGTTTTTGCAGAAAAGGCTATTATGCAATGAGATTCAATAAATGTTTACTCATTAAAAAAGTATAGCTGATGAATTAAAGCAAGGGGTTCCAGATGGGTACTATTATATTCGGTTTTGCTTAACGCAATGAAAAAATAAAAAATAGATTGTCAAAATTTCAAAAAAATATAAGTGCAGGAAAAAGTACAAAATTGATAAAAAAAATTTATTAAATTTTATTTCCAGATGGCAACTGCTGGATTCCACCATTTAAATCAATTAACAGTGTTATACCAGAAACTGGAAAATCACCAAAACAGAATAATTTACCATTTGGAAGCTGAGCCACGCATGCATAAAAGTCTAGCTGCATTGAAGTTTTTAAGATTTTGAATTCTCTGCTTTGGCTTTCGATGTTGTAAATACATAAATTACTGCTTTCTTTTTTCGTAATATTATAAAGTGATGTTCTAAAACATTCTTCATAGGCTTTCATAAGTGCAGACATATTATAAACACTTGAATTGCTATCATATAGCAAGAGCGCTTTTTGAATCTTCTTCTTTCTATAAATTATTTTGTTTAGTTAATATATCAAATTTCTTTTCTATAGATTAAATTTTAAATACTTGAGCCTGCGACTGCCGTTAATAGTGGGCTTCTTTTTTTGCATGATTCTATTCTTTTAGTACGAATTTGAATTCAATTGCTTGACTTTAATGAAAGGAGCAGCCCTTCTACTCACCAATATTTTTTCAATTATTTTATTGATGTTTGCTCTGTCCTCATTTTTAAAATACCAACTTTTTAAATTTTTTTCTAGAGCCTCCTCTACTTTTCTGATCATAATTCTATAAAAAAGAACCTAGAAATATTTTTAACTTAAAATTTCCTACTTAGAAGAGTTCACACTAAAATCTAAATCTCTTCTCCGCTTAGACTCTTTAAATTCTTCTTCTGAATCAACAGCTTTTATCTGCATTTTTTGGAGTAGTTCAATACGGTCTCGGCCTAATAAATCGTTTATAAAATTGATATCTTTTTCAGAGAGGTTTCATTCATTCCCAGTGGAAACACCACTTGGCCGACCAGCTTGCTTCAAATTATAAGCCCTATTAAAGTCCTGCAAAGCTGCTTCTTCTTGTCTGAGATGATTAAATGCTCTAGCTCTCTTGCAGAAATACAAAGGATTATTAGGTATAAGCTTGATTACCTCATCATAGCATTGTATTGCTTCTTGATATCTCTCTAAAATATAAAGAGTATTGCCTTTATCATTATAATTCATAGCATCATTTGGATTGATTTTGATTGCTTCGTCATAGCTTTCTATTGCTTCTTGATATCTTCCTAATTGATTTAAAGCATACCCTTTCTTATAGTAAATTTCAGCACCTTTTGGATATAGTTTGATTGCTTCATCATAGCATTCAATTGCTTCTAGATATCTTTCTAAATTATTTAAAGCGTTGCCTTTAAAACAGTATAAACTAACTTCGTTTGGATGGAGTTTGATTTCTTCACCATATCATTCGCTTGTTGATAGATTACTTCCTAAATCTCTTAGAGTATTGCCTTTTAGATTTCATTCATCCAGATAATAAGGATCGAGCTTAAAATTATGGACATTTCATTTTATTGCTTCAATCTTTTGACCTACTCTTCTAAGAGAGACAAACTCATTATGGTAAGCAACATCAATAATGATTTTTTGATCTAAGCTAAAATAATAATATTCTCTAGTCGAATCAGAAATAGTTGAGATGTATATTCCTCCTTTATTATATGAACAATACACTTGATCAGGATTGCAATTCAGTTTTGAGTATGCTATTCGTCTCCAATTCACATAACTTCCAATTTCGCTTTCATAGATTGATCCCTTGTCGCATTCAATCAAATATAGTCTCTCTGCATTTATCAGGATCTTTTTTTTCTTATCTTCAAACTTATAAGGAACTGTCGAGAAAGAGTCAATATCAATTGAGTATAACAAAAGATGTCTGCTATCATATCCAGAAATCAAAATATTTCTTTTAAATATTATACTACTGAAATAGCAATCAGCTTGTGGCATAGGAATTAATTGAATTCACCGATTTTGATCCAAATCAAATCTACAAGATAGAGTTAAATCTATCTTATTCTTTCCTCCAAAGCAATAGACGCTGTTGTCGAAATAGATATAGGTCACTTGATATTTTATTGCAGTCTCTGACAGAGTTTAACTTTTGAAGATAAAAGTAGGAGATGGATTATAAATTTCTGTTGGGATTGAGAAATAATGGAATGGGTTATATAAATTATTGAATCTTTTATGCACTTTCCTGCTATGGATGTCTCTTACTGAAAATGCCAATACTTGGAAGATGAATTGCAGTTTGTGAGTATATCATATAATTTATGCCGCCAATATGCACTTTCAAAAGATTATCGATATGCAATCATCATTCTTTAAATCCAGCATACATGATGAGATTGAGCAAGGAGTTCCAGATGAGTGCTATTTCTTAATGATTTCTTTTAAGATGTGTTAGATTGAGTTGGTCTGAGTTCCAATTTAAATCAGAGTGGAACCACTTTATAGATATTTTAAAGCAAGAGAAAGTACAAAATTGATAAAAAATAGCTGCGATTTTTCTGTTCCAGATGGCAGAACTTCGAATACGCCATTTGCATCAATCAGCACTGTAGTCCCAGAAACTGGGTACCCTTTACCATAGCAGAATAGCTTGCCATTTGGAAGTTGAGTTATGCAAGTGCCTCGGTCTAGCCGTTCTGGAATCTGCAAAATTTTGAGTTCTTCTGTTTCTGTTTCAGTGTTATAAATATGCAATTTAGTTGTGCTGTTATAGCTTGTAATATTATAAAGAGATGTCTTTTGTTGATAAGCATTAAGATAATCTTGGTAAGCTTGCATTAGTGGCGGATCATAAAAACTAAGACTGGTCTGAATTGCTGAGCAAGTTGTCCTAAAATCTATCTCTAATTCTGGATTGTTTGGTCTACTCAAAATCTCAGCTATTTTATTTCTTAAGCTGTCTATAACGTTTAAAGCGCTTTCTGTTTCATTGGATTTATTGTTGAGATCACTAGAAACAGTGCTTATATGAGAATTAAGCAAGCCCTTCTCGTTTTCTAGGCTGTTTTTTATTGGCTTGTTTACGTTTTCAGGCCCTTTTAAACTCTCACTGTTCATATTTATTATTAAGGAAATCGAATGCTTGATTTTTAACAAATTAAGCGGTTAAATTAATAATTTATTTAAGGCTTATCTAGCATATATAAAAATTACTTTTTATTCTGTGATAACAATTATTTATGAGAAAAATAATATAATTTAATTCTTCATTCATTTTCGAGTGTTAAAACTCTACTTGGCTTTAAGTGATTCTCTAATTTTATCGCAATATCCTTTGTACATGTAATTAAAGGAATTTTATAATCTCTATTTGAGTGATATCAATTTTATTTGGCTTCGTTTTTGATCATTCATTGGCTTTTGTATGCAAAAATTTAATTTTTTTATTATATGATCATCCTTGTCTATTTACAAGCTCGGTTCTTTGCATTTTGGCTGGAGGGTTGCAGCAATATATTCTATACAGCAACTTCTTAATTTAGGTCCTGAAACTATGGAGCTAATCAATTTTTTGTGCTGAATGATGTATTGCCTTATTCCCTTCTGGGACGATCAGAATTTTCTTTTCAGAAACAGGATGGGGATGTCTTACGGAAGCATTTAGAATTGAAAGAAGTATAGCGCAAAATAACTAAAATCAAAATGACTTAAAGATTTTCAATAATGAAAAGCCAGGCTTAGAGCAATTGCTTTTTAGTAGTCACTCAAACTTATTTGATTTCTTTCAGTCTTTCTTGCTTCAGCCTTAAAAACAAAAAAGTCAAAATATTTCGCTTACCTAAAAACAATATTTTCTTAGCATAGGAAAAATATGCATGCAGCATTAGAATTTACTATTAATTTCATATTAGAACGGCCAATATAAAGTAAATGGCAAGGCAAACCTAGCTGAGAGCTCTTCTTTTGATTTTCTGTCTTCAATTAGGAAATGCAACATTTTCTCCACAAACTCGCTGTATTCTTACTCAAAATAATTTATCGAGTGGAAAAATAGCTGATTCCAAATAACAGCCCTTCTTTTTATTCCCATATAGCTATATCATGCCTGCTAAATGTGGATGTCTAGGAGCTTCTCAAAGTGCTGGATATGTTGTAGATTTTCAAGCTGTAATTTCTGCATCGCTTTCTGAAATCGCTGTTAGCATTTGATATTATACTCCTCTTAGAAAATCACATCAAACTCACTTCTAGTTATAATAGAATAACAATGAAGAGAACTGCCTTAAGAAAACTGACTTAACCTTAATTTATGGACAGATTAAGTTGGAAGAACTAAAAAGCCAATAAGTTTGAGCTCATTCAAGTTAAGGAAATTAAATTTGAGATAAGGCACTAAGAAAGTTTCATTAACTTTATAATGAGTTTATCAAGGATATAGCCTTCTAATAATGAATCGCTTTTACCATTTTTATCTTGTAAATTTGTTGAGATAAAATTTATTCCCAAAAACCTTACCACTCTCGACTGTTTTATTAGTGAAGCCAATAAAGATTATAACTTCGAGAAAGTGATTACCTATATAACAAGCAAAATCATTTTCAATATGATTGTTTTACATATTTTTGATTTCTAAATATTGTAAATAAGAAATATAGCGTGCCAACCTAAGCGGATACGCCTATTACAAATATAATTAAATATTCTGGGCACTGTTTTGTGGCGAGAAAGGTCAAGGATGATGATAAATACAGATTTTCGGGTACTTTTTGAACATATTTGACTCCAAAGAGTTAAAGGCTGCTTTTAACTTTAAATGCATTTATATGTGGATTAATGTGAATGGTTTTTTTATTATGTTTAAGTATTTTTAAAAGTTCTTAGGGGTATTTCTTCTATTCAAAGCTAAATATTATATAATTTTTTAATCTAAAAAGTAGCAAGCTTATTATGTCCTAAGCTAGCAGAGTAAAATATCCTTAAATCATAATAAGCTGTTCTTTAATTTTGATAGAGCTAGAAGACGGAATGCTGACTCTTTTGGCGTATTAGGCTTAAGTATTAAAAAATTAAGAATTTATAATGAAAAACAAAATAAATTTGTCCACATAGCTTCTTCTCAAAAACAAATTATCCTTGCTAAAAGTATATCAACTTAAAATTTATTATTTTTATTTTAATAATAGAATATTATATAAATATTGGGTTCGTGCTATTTTGGGTTTAAGTTTTTAAAGAAAGTGAGTTGAGACTTCACCAGGGTGTTAGGGTGTTAGGGTGTTAGGGTGTTAGGGTGTTAGGGTGTTAGGGTGTTAGGGTGTTAGGGTGTTAGGGTGTTAGGGTGTTAGGGTGTTAGGGTGTTAGGGTGTTAGGGTGTTAGGGTGTTAGGGTGTTAGGGTGTTAGGGTGTTAGGGTGTTAGGGTGTTAGGGTGTTAGGGTGTTAGGGTGTTAGGGTGTTAGGGTGTTAGGGTGTTAGGGTGTTAGGGTGTTAGGGTGTTAGGGTGTTAGGGTGTTAGGGTGTTAGGGTGTTAGGGTGTTAGGGTGTTAGGGTGTTAGGGTGTTAGGGTGTTAGGGTGTTAGGGTGTTAGGGTGTTAGGGTGTTAGGGTGTTAGGGTGTTAGGGTGTTAGGGTGTTAGGGTGTTAGGGTGTTAGGGTGTTAGGGTGTTAGGGTGTTAGGGTGTTAGGGTGTTAGGGTGTTAGGGTGTTAGGGTGTTAGGGTGTTAGGGTGTTAGGGTGTTAGGGTGTTAGGGTGTTAGGGTGTTAGGGTGTTAGGGTGTTAGGGTGTTAGGGTGTTAGGGTGTTAGGGTGTTAGGGTGTTAGGGTGTTAGGGTGTTAGGGTGTTAGGGTGTTAGGGTGTTAGGGTGTTAGGGTGTTAGGGTGTTAGGGTGTTAGGGTGTTAGGGTGTTAGGGTGTTAGGGTGTTAGGGTGTTAGGGTGTTAGGGTGTTAGGGTGTTAGGGTGTTAGGGTGTTAGGGTGTTAGGGTGTTAGGGTGTTAGGGTGTTAGGGTGTTAGGGTGTTAGGGTGTTAGGGTGTTAGGGTGTTAGGGTGTTAGGGTGTTAGGGTGTTAGGGTGTTAGGGTGTTAGGGTGTTAGGGTGTTAGGGTGTTAGGGTGTTAGGGTGTTAGGGTGTTAGGGTGTTAGGGTGTTAGGGTGTTAGGGTGTTAGGGTGTTAGGGTGTTAGGGTGTTAGGGTGTTAGGGTGTTAGGGTGTTAGGGTGTTAGGGTGTTAGGGTGTTAGGGTGTTAGGGTGTTAGGGTGTTAGGGTGTTAGGGTGTTAGGGTGTTAGGGTGTTAGGGTGTTAGGGTGTTAGGGTGTTAGGGTGTTAGGGTGTTAGGGTGTTAGGGTGTTAGGGTGTTAGGGTGTTAGGGTGTTAGGGTGTTAGGGTGTTAGGGTGTTAGGGTGTTAGGGTGTTAGGGTGTTAGGGTGTTAGGGTGTTAGGGTGTTAGGGTGTTAGGGTGTTAGGGTGTTAGGGTGTTAGGGTGTTAGGGTGTTAGGGTGTTAGGGTGTTAGGGTGTTAGGGTGTTAGGGTGTTAGGGTGTTAGGGTGTTAGGGTGTTAGGGTGTTAGGGTGTTAGGGTGTTAGGGTGTTAGGGTGTTAGGGTGTTAGGGTGTTAGGGTGTTAGGGTGTTAGGGTGTTAGGGTGTTAGGGTGTTAGGGTGTTAGGGTGTTAGGGTGTTAGGGTGTTAGGGTGTTAGGGTGTTAGGGTGTTAGGGTGTTAGGGTGTTAGGGTGTTAGGGTGTTAGGGTGTTAGGGTGTTAGGGTGTTAGGGTGTTAGGGTGTTAGGGTGTTAGGGTGTTAGGGTGTTAGGGTGTTAGGGTGTTAGGGTGTTAGGGTGTTAGGGTGTTAGGGTGTTAGGGTGTTAGGGTGTTAGGGTGTTAGGGTGTTAGGGTGTTAGGGTGTTAGGGTGTTAGGGTGTTAGGGTGTTAGGGTGTTAGGGTGTTAGGGTGTTAGGGTGTTAGGGTGTTAGGGTGTTAGGGTGTTAGGGTGTTAGGGTGTTAGGGTGTTAGGGTGTTAGGGTGTTAGGGTGTTAGGGTGTTAGGGTGTTAGGGTGTTAGGGTGTTAGGGTGTTAGGGTGTTAGGGTGTTAGGGTGTTAGGGTGTTAGGGTGTTAGGGTGTTAGGGTGTTAGGGTGTTAGGGTGTTAGGGTGTTAGGGTGTTAGGGTGTTAGGGTGTTAGGGTGTTAGGGTGTTAGGGTGTTAGGGTGTTAGGGTGTTAGGGTGTTAGGGTGTTAGGGTGTTAGGGTGTTAGGGTGTTAGGGTGTTAGGGTGTTAGGGTGTTAGGGTGTTAGGGTGTTAGGGTGTTAGGGTGTTAGGGTGTTAGGGTGTTAGGGTGTTAGGGTGTTAGGGTGTTAGGGTGTTAGGGTGTTAGGGTGTTAGGGTGTTAGGGTGTTAGGGTGTTAGGGTGTTAGGGTGTTAGGGTGTTAGGGTGTTAGGGTGTTAGGGTGTTAGGGTGTTAGGGTGTTAGGGTGTTAGGGTGTTAGGGTGTTAGGGTGTTAGGGTGTTAGGGTGTTAGGGTGTTAGGGTGTTAGGGTGTTAGGGTGTTAGGGTGTTAGGGTGTTAGGGTGTTAGGGTGTTAGGGTGTTAGGGTGTTAGGGTGTTAGGGTGTTAGGGTGTTAGGGTGTTAGGGTGTTAGGGTGTTAGGGTGTTAGGGTGTTAGGGTGTTAGGGTGTTAGGGTGTTAGGGTGTTAGGGTGTTAGGGTGTTAGGGTGTTAGGGTGTTAGGGTGTTAGGTGTTAGGGTGTAGGGTGTTAGGGTGTTAGGGGTGTTAGGGTGTTAGGGTGTTAGGGTGTTAGGGTGTGTTAGGGTGTTAGGGTGTTAGGGTGTTAGGGGTGTTAGGGTGTTAGGGTGTTAGGGTGTTAGGGTGTTAGGGTGTTAGGGTGTTAGGGTGTTAGGGTGTTAGGGTGTTAGGGTGTTAGGGTGTTAGGTGTTAGGGTGTTAGGGTGTTAGGGTGTTAGGGTGTTAGGGTGTTAGGGTGTTAGGGTGTTAGGGTGTTAGGGTGTTAGGGTGGTTAGGGTGTTAGGGTGTTAGGGTGTTAGGGTGTTAGGGTAGGGTGTTAGGGTGTTAGGGTGTTAGGGTGTTAGGGTGTTAGGGTGTTAGGGTGTTAGGGTGTTAGGGTGTTAGGGTGT